CCCCGCTCTGCAAAGGCCACGGTGCCCTCAGCTGCCACCCGGCCCTGCCGGTGTCCAGCCGGGAGCTGAGCTCAGCTGGGCACTGAGGTGCGGCCCTCCGCCTGGCACACAGCCCCTGCCTCTCCAATGCCCTGGCCACAGGTGCACGGCCCGGCTCCCCGGCAGACGCGGGGGGCTTCCCTCTCCCGAGGGGGCCGCCCCGGGCTTTCAGACCCCTTTGCTGCTCTCTGGCGGGGTGAAGGCGCCCCAGGGAGCGGAGGAGCTCAGGGGCCCCTGGGGGCCAGTCGCTCTCGCTCTTCCTTCCTTGTCTGGGGGTGGCGTTGGTAGGCCGGGCTCCTGGGTTCCCTTCCCAGCTCCGTTGGGATCCAATTCGGTGCCACTCCCGGTGCCTCAGTTTCCCTGTCTGGCCAGTAGGGAGGATAATGAACATCCTCCCTCCCTGGATTTCATTATAGCCAGGAAACGGGGTCGGGCTGTTGGGGTGCCGTCTCCCGGCTCATAGACCAGCGCCGCGTCTCCCAGACCCCTCCAGGTGCGCCCACCCACGGCAGAGGGCTGGGGGTGGCTGGGCGGGGTTTAACCCCCACACTGGGCAGAGAGGAGGGCACTGGGGAGGGGTGGAGCCGGGACACCTGGGGTCTATTCACATCGACATCCCCGTGTCTTCCCGCAGGGGCTGAGCGGGACCTAGGAACAGCAGCCCCCCCAGCCCTGAGGCCAGCCGTCTGCAGTAGCTGGGGAAACTGAGGCTACGGGAGGCCAGTCCCCAGAGAGTGGCAATTCCCTGGCGGCTCTGCTCTAGCCGCTACCCCGCACTGTCTGTTTCCCTGGGTCTCTTTGCCTCGCTCCAGTGCGGGGCCCTGGCTCAGCTTGAGCTTTCGACTGCTGTAGCTCACGGCGTGCCCCGGGGCTGTGAGATTTCAATTCCCCCCCCAGGACTCCGGGCTGCGTAATTCTCGCCCCGGCCAGCCAGCGGCGTGGCGCGAGGCTGCGGGAGACGGGCCACCGCAAATGAAAGCCGTAAACAACATGCTGCGCTTCCCGGCGGGCAGGGAGCCACGCGCGGATCCCGCTGCAATTAGGCCGGCGGGAAGGGGGAACCGCTGGTATTAATTAACTTGGCTTCCTCTGGCCGAGACGCTCTGTAATTAACATCCCTGCTGCTGCAGATGCTGCCCCGGCCGCGTGCCGAGCGCTGGCCCGGCGGTCCCACTGGTCCCGGGGCACCGCCGCGCGGAGGGCCTGCCGGAGCGGGCCCCAGGGACCCCCCGACGGGGCGTGGGGGGAGCAGGAAGGGGACGCTTCTGCCGCGGGCTTCAC